TCTCACCCACCTTGTCTCCATACCAATGAGGAAGGACAATGAGGGCTGTACATTTGTGGAAAAATATAGTCAAAGAACAAGTAATATTTTTTTCACCTTTGAGAAATTTCTCAGCAACCCTGAAGAAGCAAGAAAAATGCTTAACCAGTCATATCCTCGTCCCCCGTCCCCCCCGACAACCTCATCGACACCCCATTCAGGCGGCATGCCTGACAGTTTGAAAACCAGCAGTTTGGTCCAAGTGTTCTCCAACTATAAATTTTGAGTCAACATCTAAAAAGAGATCATTTTATGGCCCATGATCCCTTCCCAACATTTCAGTCTCTGCTAGTCTGCACTTGAAATATTTTATTCTGCAGATGACAGTCTGAGAACCACAATTCTAGTCAAATTAATACCACATGGAATATGTACCAGTTATTTAAATACTGAAAAACACTTATTCACTGAACATATTCTTTTTTCTTCCTCAGCTCCTAAACTTCAGCTACTCAGTACCTAGCTTCTTCATGAAACATTTTAATAAGTTTGGATGGAGTTTCCAATGGGCCTCTTCTAGAAAAGTAGCAAGACAACATCCAGTCATTATTTAGAGTAAGGGAGCAATTGTTTCTCTACTGCATCAGTATCAAAACGCATTAAGTAACAAATTACAATTTATTTTTACAATGCGAACACTTTTCATAAGAATTTTATTTCACCGATATCTCTGCTTTAAGTCAGCATACATTGTATATAACAGTAGGTACCCATTGTTCTGTGACAACATCCTAATTAGGAGTGTTGAGAATGTCCAGTCAAGTGATTTGAATGCTGGGAACGCTACCTCATAACAATGAATTCAAAAATCATTTATAATCGACACCACACTTGTCTTGCATTTTTACCCTACAACAACAAAAACCTGTATGAAAAACTCGTTTTAAAGCAATATATCCTTTTTTTCTGTTACTGTACTGCATTTTAAAATATTCCCATAGAATACAAACGCTAAAAGATTATCTAGTTTTCACTTTTTCCTCCCCTCAAAAAAAAAAATGCCCTCTGTTCAAATTCTAAATGTTGCCACTTTTAATGGTAACCTATTATTTAAAAAATTTCTTAATCTTCGCCACTGAAAAGAAAACAATATATTTTAAATACATTTGTTTTGTTTACATCAGTACATTACTGAATCATTTTCTCAAAAAAGTCCTTAAAAGTAGCAGCCTAGCGTACTGGAGACAGAATTACATAAATAGGGTGTTTACATGTGTCACTTCCCTATTCTGAATGGAATCAGACCAGACCATCAGGTTTCTGGTGTATTCCCTAATGACTACAAAAGAGGATAAGTATTCAAGCCAGTGGAGGCCCATTTAAGGCACAAGATCAATGGTTTAGTTTCCCATGTGGCATATGTGCAGTTTCAACTGGAGACTGGTGTACATTCCAACACCAAAGAGATACGGATTCATTATAAAACTATGATTTCATTTTCTACCCCAAGCATTCCTTTCTCTGAAAGTCTCATCCTTTTCCTTCTAAAGGAATCCTGAACCGTACATTTTGAGACTTTTCTCCAGATTTCAATTCCACTTCGGATTCACGTCAAACCATGTCGATCATTTGTAATCACAGTACTATGAACATTTAATTCACAACTTTGTGGACTGAATTTGGATCCCTTTGCTACATAAACAAACGTTTATTCTAAAATCGTGGAACATACTCCGGTTCGGCAAGGGCACACAACAAGTGAGCTTCAAGAACTGCAATCACTTAAAATAGTTACTGAAGAATGTAGGCTAAATATATTTCCCCTTCGTGGCCAGCCTCCTTACTCTAAAATAATAAATGAAGAGTTGTAATAAAAAAAAAAGTAACTGAATGTTATGTAATAAATATACCTAGTTCTTATATTGTGCTTTCCATCATTCAATCTCAAAGTGCTTTCCAAAATTATCCTTGTTTTACACATGGGGAAACAAGAAGGTGAAGTCACTTCCCAAGGTCACCCAGCAAGCCAGTGGCCAAGCGGGGAATAGAAGAACCCAGTTCTCCCAAGTCCTAGTTCATGGTTCTATCTAGTGGATAGAACACTGAAGTAGTCGGTAAAGGTACACAGAGGTGGTGTGTTATATGTTTAAATTATATCTTTGTTGGATATAATGTTGAACATTTAAGTGCACTGGATTATTTTTTCCCTCTTTTGTCTGAACTGTAAAAACGTTGAGCATTTAGACATTTTAATACATTTGGAATTGTAGGGTCTGTATTCTGTCCTCTCTGAAACAAGGAAACAATGATACTGAACAATGAATTGATTGAAATGTTGATGGGGATAGACTAAGCTTTAAACATTAAAAATGAGCTAAGCTACATTTTATTTGACTGTACTATAGACAATAATATACCTTCAGTTTGAGATTTTATAGATACGCAATATTTTCTGATATGTGAAAAATATTTCATTCAAAATTAAATAGACATTATCAATTTGTTTGTATTTTAATTAAGTAATTAAGACTTTTAAAAAGTTTTGATAACCCTTTGAATACCACAAGCAGTTTATTTTTTTAGATCCCCTGAACAAAACAAAAAAAAGAAGGGAGGAGTACTACTGCCCTACTGATGTCTTTAAGGGTCTTTCAAGGAGAAGAGAATAATGGTGTTGCTCTCAGGTTTACCCACATATGCTCAGTAATATTCATTCTCTCCTGTATCAGTGTGCACACACACCTGCTGTGCCTCATCCTTAATGCTACAGCTTCTAGGGAACACTCTCTTGGAGGACCCTGGGAAGAATGTGCATGTGAACTCCCCACAGAGTAATGCATGAGTGATACTGACTTGCCAGTGAGACAGAAAGCACAACTGGACATCAAAACAGTTAAAGGGCCTACCTCAGTTACAATAATTTTGTGCTTCTTGGTTAACAGTAGGAACTAAATTTTCAGATGTGTGATTTTATTTTTGTATCTGTTGTTAAAAACACCAAAGGTTACCACAGTTTGTTCCTACTGTTAACCAACTAACACCAAACATTATCAAGCATCCTTTTAAATGCTATTTACAAAGCTACAGAAAGTTTTCATATGTAGTTAAACATACATTCCCCTCCAATGCTGTAGTACTGTTCAGAATTTTTACATTGGATTTAACAACATACAGTTTTAATAAAGTTGTTGAATTTAAGACTACAAACAAAACATGTTTGCAGTTATTTCTTAAAATTTTCACTATATTTATAAAATTAGTTTACTGTAAATAAGGAGAACTATTATTCATATTTACAAAGCAGACAAATCTGAAAGCAACACTTTCCCTTCTGATGTTATCCCTGCTCAACTTTTAGCAAATACGTACTTTGAAACTATCATGGCTCATTTGTAAACCTTTGCATATAAAAACATTAAGGCAAAGACATCAGAGCTCTAGGAGCCCACATTATACACACACCTATGGGCATTACATTTAAAAGGGCCATATGCTTCTACAATAAAAACAAAGCCCTTCAAATTACACATAAGACTTTTGACAATAAACACAGTAAAACTTAAAATCTAAATTTGAATTAAGACCTATCAGTGTAGAAGGCTAGTTTAAAAATTCTACAGACTTAAGCTAGCTTTCAATGTTTTGTAATTTTTCTCAGGAAAAGATTAATCCAGTTAAAACAAATCAAAATTCTCTACAATGCATATGTATCCATTATTCACAGTTCTGTAAGTAACTCAAATCAGGAAATTAAGACTACCAATTTCTCAAAACATTTAGTTCATTTCTCTCCATTCAGGTATTTCTAAAATTTAAAAAATGTCACTGTAGTAGTAGAGACACAATGCAGTAAATTAGTTAAAACTACAGGATAATTTAAACTAATAATTCTGGAAGCCATAAATTCCTGCCGTTACTCTGCATCGCTCCCACTATGTTGGCAGAAAAATAGTTTTCACTGGGAGGGCATGACTTCGGAAGCACAGTTTGTGTTTGCTAATACAAATGCAGTACGCTGGAATCGGTGCTCTTTACCGGGGCAGTTTTATTGTATGAAAAGTGAAATGAATAACCTCTAACTTTCAAGTATGAGTTTTAACAAAGAGATTAGGAACGAATGAGACCTAGTTGGAGTTCCCTTCCAGCGCATCCCTCGAGATACATGGTCGGTAATGCCACGGAAGTCACCATGTCTGGACTATGTCCAGCTAGTGCTTTGCAGGACCGTGAATCGGTGCATATCCAACAGCAGCGCACAGCGAGCTGTGCCAGCTTCTCCCTACAGCAGCCTGCCCCTAGCCTTGGCGCGACCAAGGGAGCCGGCTCCCCACAGCTGCAATAGACACACTCGGCAAAAGGGCACCCCAGCCTCAGCTGCGCCCCGTGCCAGAGGGGACCGGCTCACGGGTCCTTCCACAGCAGGGCTCCGTGTGCGTCCCGCACACCCCAGTCCCGTCCCGTCCCGTCCCCAGCAGGGACGCGAGGCGGGGAGGTCCCAGGACTGCCGGCAGCGGGAGAGGCCGGGGACACGGCGCACGAGCGCGGGGACTCCGACCCCCTTCTCCTCCCACACCAAGGCCCAAGCCCAGTCCTCGGGGTGGCGTAGGAGCCAGAGCGGCTTGGCCCAGAGGGGACTCGGCTATGCCGACTCCTGTCCCTCCCCTGCAGCGGGCAGAGCGGGAGCGAGCCGCGGCCCGAGCGGACACAACCAACGGCTCCTACCCAGAAACTCTCCACGAAAGACGCCATGACCGCGCCGCCGCCTCAGCGCTGGGTGAGCCCGGCTCCGACGGCCTCAGCCACCAAGACCCAACGGAGGAAACAGCCACCGCCGCCGCCCGCCACAGAGCGCCGCCCTTCCCTTTACTGTGCGGCAGCCACTCTGCAGCCCAAACCGCCCTGGCGCGCACGCGCCAGCCAGCCGCGGCCACCTCCCCCAGTGCGCAGGCGTGTCGCTGCACCGCCCGCCCGCCCCTCCCCCGGCCAAGGGTGTGCGCAGGAGTCGAGAGCGGGCGGTGTTCGGCCTGAGAGGGGCTCGGCTGTGGGGGAGCGCGGGTTTCGCGCTGCCTTGAGTTCTGCAGCAGCGCTGGCCCAGCGCTCGTGGGACGGCGCGGCTGCCCCAGGCGGCACAGGCCCTGATGCGCTACTCGCCATTTCTAACGCGTGTCGGGAATTGAAATAGTAAAATAGGGAGCCGGCTCTGGCAAGGAAAAACTTTCGCACCCAACCAGCAAAGCCCGACGCTTGAGGCAAGTTCGATAGAGGGCGGTAATGTTTTAAGTCTGCCTCAGCAAAACGTTTCCCCAAAAAAGTTCAACTACCCTCCTTTCTTCAGCCAGTCAAGAAGCAAAGGTGAGCAGAGAGGGGAAGGCTACAGGGCCGTGGCAGACAAGTTCTGTCTTATCCAGAGTGGCTGCTAAGCGATGGGCCCCAGTTGAGGTTGTCTGATCAACATGAGGGCTGCTGCCAAACCACTGTTCCTGACACGGTTGAAGTTAAGGGTAAGAAAAATAGTACAGCTATAGTGAATGATACATCATGATCAGTACCTTTCAAAAGTACATAATTCCTGCTCAATTAAAAAAGGATTCATGTTCTGGTAGCATCAGCTCTTTTATCATACATTGTAGAAGCAGGTGGAATGGATGCAAGTTAGCCAGGTCCATCAGTAGCTCCAGAAGACCCTCAGTCAAGGGACAAGCCCTACTGTGCTTATGGTGCAGCTCCAAGATATGAAAACAGGCTTGTCATACACTCGTGATAACAGTAGGTCAGAAGTTTGTGACCACGGCAGTAAATTCCTAGAAACGATAAAAGTAGTCATCAGAAGGGGTTGAGAATAGCAGTAGCTTCACTAAGAAACTGACCACCACATTATCCAACCCCTGATCTCTTCTTCAAACTGGTCATCTTCCCTCTTCATAGAAGCCAGGTATGAAGAACAGGTGGACACCCTCCCACATTAGAGATTAAACTACTGTGCCAAAAGGCAGAAAAGCAGCAGCTGACATGCCATGTCTGCCTGGAGCTCTTTCCAAAAACAGGCTGACCTATGTAGATACTTCAGGGCTAGGATCCAAATCATTCCCCGCTAAGAAAGTGGTAACCCCTCTCCAGTATATGTTATCATGGGAACAACTCAAGAGGGAGCTGCAAAACAATAAAGCTGAAGCACATTCAGTATGGAAGTTTCTACTGCCAGTGCTTTGCTGTACTTTTTCTGTGTACAAATGGAAGACATTCGATTTAGGTTCTTATACTACCCCCATCAGCATTGTATCTGAGTATCTTCCAATAGTGCATTAAGCATTATGACTAGTATCTATCAGAGAAGGTTGATTTGTTTGGTGAGGGTTTGTTTGTTTGTTTTAAGTGTACATGCTGCTGTGCACAAGAGAAAAGGCAAGGTCAAAGGAGTGGAGGTTTTGCATTTGGAGCAAATGGAGGTTAGGTTTCCGATACTCCTTAGTTCCTGTAGGAGTTCATTCCACAGTCTTGGACCAACCCCAGAGAATGATACATCTCTTTCACAGACAAACTTTACACTGATTGAGTTCTACTGTTCCAAAACATGTGGAGGTGACTGAAGTTTTCATCCCAGAGGTTTAGGCATCCTTTTAGAAATCCTAGGTCCAGACAAACGCTATAAAGATAAAGACTAAGGACTTGACAACATCCTCTGAGAATCCAGTGTAAAGATCAGAGGACAGGTTTGATGTAGGTGTAGTATCCCACATTGCTGAGAAGACATGCTTTAGCAGTCTATATTAGCCAAAGCTCCCCAAGATCTGATATCCTCATGTAGGCATGAAGCTACCAACACTGTAATCCAGAGGAGATATGACAAAGGCAGGTATAACTAAGGCCAGCTCATCATCTGTCAGGATGGGAGTTTCCAATCCAACCAGACAAGGCAGATAGCACTACTTGTGGATTTTGTTATGTGAGAACTTGGAGTTGATGGCCGTATATGGTGAAGAGTAGGTGGAGGTATGTGTCATCTGCATAGTGCTGACTCTTGCATACATTTCTTACTGGTTCACCTAGTGGCTGCATATAGATGTTGAACAGGACCAGAGAGAATTTATCCTTGCCTGACTCCAAAAGTGAGAAATTAGGTAGTGGAGGTGCAGTTTCTCATCTCTACTCGTTGAGTGTACCCCTCCAGGGAAGGACTCAAACCATTTTAGCACATTACCTTGTACCTCTGCCACCTCTCTCAAATGGAACAGCAGTGTCTCATGGGTCAACAGTGTCAAATACTACAGAGAAGCCCAGGGGGATGAGAATGGATATCTGGCCACTCTCCACTGACAGCTGTACATCGTACATCAGGACCTAAAGAGGGTTCCATCCCACATCCCAGCCTAAATCCAGATTGTGCTGGGTTCTAGGATATTAGCATCAATTAGATGAATTGTAGTTATCCATTATCTAACTTCTCTATGAGCTTGGTCCGGAATGGTAGAACAGATACATCCAAGATGGATTTCTTCAGTGGTGGTAAGATTATTGTACGTTTGAAGGAGGAAGGGAAGATTAATTCCCTGAATGAAGCGTTAGCTATTTCATTCAGAAATTGTTTATGACTCCTTCATCAGCCAGAGAGGGCATAGGTCAGACTCCCAGTTGGGAGACTTGGGTTGAGATTCTTTTAGGGTATCCCAATAGCCCTTGAGGAATGAATGTATTGAACTCTGGAACATGTTTGTTGGGTGGTATATGGGGATCGATGAAATTTGAGAAGCCTTCGTTAATATTCAGGAACTTTTTGGCTAAGTAGGATAATAGTTATTTCACAGTATTTGGGTTCCGTTTTGGCCTGCAGGCACTTAAGATTGATGACATTGTTTATCACCCTGGATAGCTCATTAGAGCAGGATTTGGCAGCTTCAGTGGAAGCCAGTAGGAAAGTTTACTTGGCCTATTACACAGCCTCAGTATAGGCTTGAAGAAATCCTTTGTTTCAACTTCAGTTTTTTGCCATCAATGGCAGAGTTTCCAGCCCACTCTCCATCTGGGACAGAGTGTCAGAAAACGAAGGAGGTCTGTGTAGGAAGAGGCTATGTGTTAATACTCAGTGCTAACATACAATGATGATTCACCAGATCATTCACTCTTTGTCCTGCGGGTGAAGGGCTGCTGTTGTCCTTCAGCATGCTTGAAAATGTGATGAAGTCTATGAGTCTTCACAGTAGAGACAGCATCATAGGTCTTTGACCACTGGCTTAATAAGGTCATGGTCTGTTCAAGACAGCGGCTGGGTTGTGATGTCCCCAATATTGACATCTATTTTGAAGACCAGGTTGAAGGAGTGACCAGCTGTGTGGGTTGTATCTGTGAAAGTTCTAAAGAGGCAGATAACGAGACAAGTTTTGGGCCTTTTACAGCGGCAGCCTTGTCAACAGCTGTTGAAATCTCTAGGACAAGAAGTCTGGGGTATTTTACCACAATCACCAATGTATCAGGAGCTCTTTTATGAGCCAATTAAACTTTGGAAGTCTCTAAATAGAGTCTATATTAGCATTGGCTCTGGTTTCTATTTTTAGAAAAATAAAATGGAGCGAATCAGGGTGGATAAAAAAAATCAATGATTTTTTTAAATTTAAATTAGCTTTTTCCTCAAAAAAGGATTTTATCAAAAAAATCCATCTAAAGATAGTTTTAATTAAGATACATTATAGCTCAAAGATATCTCATCACGAATTGGTTAGTCTCTAAGGTGCCACAAGTACTCCTTTTCTTTTTGCGAATACAGACTAACACGGCTGTTACTCTGAAACCCATCATGGAATAGGGATTAGACATTCTAATATAGTCATATAATGTTTAAGAAAAGTTTTGTAAATGAGTTTCAATAGTTCATGGATTAAGGACCCAAATCTTATGGGGTTCCAGGGGCTTCTGTGTAGATTTAGGTTAATTTTTCTATCTACCCAATGGGACTCAGTGCTTAGTCTAGAAGATACCAGCAGAGATGCCTAATTTTGCAGTTCTCAAACTGTGGATTTGTGGCTCCAGAGATAACATGCTTGTTAACAGCAAAAATGTTTTAAAATATATAGAGGTGAGAAATAACAGAATAAATAAATAATAATAGTCAATCCCTTCTCTCTCTTTAAAAGTGCAAAGTTTCAAAAAGTTCAATGAATAGAAGATTGTTGGGGGTGGAATAGATCTGGACAAGGAGAAGAAGTCTGGAGATAAATGTGAGAAGGGAGGGACAGGCAGTAGAAACAAAAGTGAAACTGTTTGAGCAACATATTCCAGAAGTCTGGAGGTCTGTGTGTAGCCTTCATTGATTTGAGATCTACCATACTATTCTCTCACTGGAAGGGAAAACCTATAATGGCAGCAAGCTGTAAAAGAGACCCAGTTTGGGAATATTTTAATGAAGTTCCTCTACCTGTGGGTAAGACAGGCATGCGTGCAAAATGCAAACAGTGCAACAAAGAAATGCAAGGCCTGGTGGCCTGAATGAAACATCATGAGAAGTGTTCCTTCTCAGGTGGAAGCTGCGTTGAAGATGATAAAAGGAACACGTCTGAACATGCAGGATTTTCAGGTTGGTAAACTTTTTTATTTCAGACTTCTTTCCTAAAGACTGCCTATCTTCCTTCTGGACTATTCTTGAATTCTCATGTTTGAGCAAAAAATATAGTTGTTACTCTATGGTACTATCATTTTAGATGCAGTTGTGATAAAAAATAAATAGCTGAAATAGGCAGATCTTTCTATGTACAGTTTCACCTGTAAAGTAGTACAGAGTGTCAGTGAATGCAATGAGTAATACTAAATGAGCAGTATGGTAATCCTAATTAAATAATTGCATTGACTTATTTTGTTTAGGAGAATCCATCCTCAATTTACAGGATTCTGAAGATTATCCACCTTCAAGATCATCTTTTTCTATAGTTTGAGTTACGTCATGATAGTGTTTCAGTCACATCATGTATGTCACATAGGCACAGTATATCACCTATAGCAAAAAGAAAAAAAAATCTCCATCATCCAGAAACAACCATAGATAAATTTGTGAAAAGAACCAGATTACAAAAAGAGGTAATGGATGAAAAAATTGCCCAGTTTTATGCAATCAACTCTCCTTTCCGTATGATTGAGAACCCACACTTCATTAATGTGGTGCAGTCATTAACACCAGGATACAGTCCACCCACCTGAGCAGATGTTGCAGGCAAATTGCTGGATAAAGTGTATGGAAGAGAAATTGAGCAGTGTGCAAACGGTATAGAGGGTGAAATTGTTAACCTGAGTCTTGATGGGTGGAGCAGTGTCCACAATGATCCTGTTGTATGTGCTTGTGTGACAACAGAAGAAGGGAATGTCTTCCTTACAGAAACAACTGATACATCAGGAAATGTACACACAGCAGAATACTTACAAGTATCAGCAGTAAAAGCTATAACAAAATTGTGAAAAACAATTCAAATATCTAGTACGCAGCTTGGTCACGCACAATGCTGCAAGTGTATCCAAGATGAGAAGAAATTATTTAGAAGAGGGTCCCAATAACACACAGTTGCAGTGCTCATTTGATGCACCTCTTAGCCAAAGACTTCAGTGTTCCAGAAATAAAAGCTAATATTGTGGAAATTACAAAATACTTCCGTAACAACCACTTTGCAGCAGCTGCTCTGAAAAAAGTGGGACAAACCAAGCTAACTCTCCCACAAGACATGTGATGGAACTCAGCAGTGGACTATTTTGAGCACTATATCAAGAACTGGCCTAATCTTATGACAGTTTGTGAACAAAATCAAGAAAAAATAGATGGCACTGTCACAGCCAAAGTTGTCAACATTGGACTTAAGAGACATGTTGAACATATGCTGAGTACCCTGAAGCCTATTTCTGGAGGCTTGAACAAAATGCAGGGAAATAGCTGTTTTATTGATGATGCTGTTGAAATTTGGAAGGAACTGAGTGAAATCTTAAAAAGAGAAACATGTAATGACAGAGTTAAATTACAAGCATTAAAAAAACAAAAACCGAATGGGACAAGCACTCTCTCCAGCTCATTTTCTTGCAAATATTCTCAATACTCAGTATCAGGGTCAAACCTTAACTGCTGAAGAAGAGGAGTTGGCTATGACATGGACATCTAGCAATCAGCCCTCCATAATGCCAACTATAATAAACTTCAGAGCTAAGGGCAAACCATTCAAGAAATATACGTTTGCTGATGTTGTTTTAAAGAAAGTCACACCAGTGAACTGGTGGAAGTCATTTAAGTACTTGGATTCAGAGACTGTTGAAGTGATAATCTCACTTAACAGCAGTAGCTTCTTCTGCTGGTGTAGAAAGAATATTTTCTTCCTTTGGACTAATTCATTCCAAACTGAGAAATCGTTTGGGACCTGAAAAAGCAGGAAAGCTTATTTTTCTTTTCCAGATTGTGAACAAACAGGAAAATGGAGGTGAAGATGACTGAGTTAGCTGCAGAAGCCAATATTTTAAGTTTCTCATGTTGACCTGGCTAACAGTTGATTTAATTTTTGTTTTTAAAAAAAAATGTATTTCATTTAACTATTTTAGTTAAAAACAACTTTAACAAAAACCTGATTTTAAAAATCTTGAATGTTTAACTAAATTCAAAAATTCATATGTTTGTTTTGTTAAAATATATGTTTGCTGTTGAAGAAAAAAATCCAGAATACATAATGTTTTTAGTTAAATAAAACAATTTAAATGTCTGGTGATGTTCTCCTCCTACTACAGCTTGGCAAGAAAATCCTCGAAATAATAATGTTTAACCTGTTGAATTGGAGATAGTTCACCTCCCAATGACTTCATAAGTATCTGCTTCAATTACCTTTGGTAAATGAAATAACCAAACAATCATTCATTTTCTGATATAGCTGTAAAACTAATCTAAAAAGTTTTCAGAATAAATCATTTACAAAGTGCATAGTGTGTACCTTCTAAAAATAAATTCTACATCTATCTCTGAATTGTGAAGAATGTGTATTAAGGTTATAACAACCAACAAGAATGCACTTTTCTGTAGAAATCCATGATTAAATAGAGTCTTCCTGATTAGTGATTTAAATCAAATACACCCTGGAATTCATCTCACTTGTGGATCCTTTTGGATTTGATGTTTGAAAAGGTGAATGCAGTGCCACCAGCCTTGTCCTGTCTGTGATAGGCCAAGAAGCTGACGGGTGAAGGGAGAGGAAGAGAAAGAGAAGGGGGGCTAACAGAGCTTGCAGTGTCATCAGGCCAGGCCTCTTATGCAAGCTCAGTTGAGTGCTTAATCTCTGAAGAGGTCATACATTGTTTGTTGGCAACACACCTTGCATTGATTAGCATAAATTTTAATTCATGTAGTTTTTGGTTACTGTCTTGGGGCCTGTACAGTGGATAGATAAGAGGTTTCTGTTTCCTTGGACAGTTCCTCCCAATTTGGTCTGTGAAATGTAAAATAGTGCATTGCGTCATGGCATGTTCTGACTGGAGGAAAGGTTGGCTGGTTCACAAAATCTCAGGGCAAGACAGGTCTTTTGGATCCTTTTGGCACTATAACTTGATTGAGTCCTGAGACTTCACAGAGCTGGAGAAGTCTGTTTCTGGAGTAGTGGTGGATGTGCTGGAAGCACGTTGGAACAACACCACTCTGTAGGGTCAAGTCCAAGGAAGGGATGAGGGGAGAGAGTCAGCATCAGGCATTCATTTATTTAAAATAAGGTAGTGTGTTGTTATAACACCCTTAGTGCCTGCACTGGCTTTGTGGGGGAGAGAGGGGAATGGAAATAACGTGACAGCTGTAACTATTTTTCTGACCAGAAGATGGCAGCAAAGGCTGCAGGAGCAGAGCGGAGGCTTAAGGCTCCTTCCCATATGCAAGATAATCGTTTGGAAGCCTCAGTTCCTGGCCATGGTTCCTGTACTGGAGGACGATCTGGGAGAGGAGTCATAGCCTCACTTTCACATTTTAGAAACATCTAATTTTTCAGAATGAAACAGTGGCCCCTGCCCTGCTACTGTGTCCATTATGGGATGGGGGTGGTGGGGAGGAAGGGGGAGAAAAGGTGGCAGAGAAAGGCCAGAAGAACAGGGACCTAGCCCACTTTAGTTTCCTGACATCAATTCAGAGCTTTACACAAACATTAAGCTAACTTAAGAAAAATATGGGATGTCCAAATCAGTTAAGTGAATCTTAAAAACTTATCACTATAGAAATAATGAGTTTAGGGAACGCGTCAAAAGAAAAGCAAAGAAGGAAGCAGCTAGTATTCAGCAAAATCCCATCCTTTCTGCTGAAGCAAGAGGATAAAAAAAGTCATCTGAACAAATTTTAATGTCGAAAATATGTATCATGAACAGGCTTGCTTTAAGGTCCAGCATTACAAAAAGAATGGATTTCCTAGGGTTTACTAATTTTCTGTGGAGGATTATTAAAGAGGAAGGTCCTTTCCCATATTTTGAGATAGAAAAAATTGAAGGAAAGCTATATAATCTGTTCTGTGCCCTTTTTGCCTTTGGTTAAAAGCATGGAGGAAGGCAAGGGCACATGCGTGGACCAATGGACTCTGCTTACAAGAATTCTCTGAGTGCAGGTGCTTGGAGTGAATGCCCACCCCCACAGTGGAATATACATAGGGCTCAGGCCTTGAAGAAACATTTGTTGTGTTTGTAAAGGAACAGGATGATTTATTCATATCATATCTTGATGAAATATTTTCTATTCTATCGGTAACTAGGGAGGATGTTAAAACTGCAACTATTAACTTTAAACATTTTATAAATCAGCAGGACCAGGTAACTTGCACCTAAGAGTATTAAAATAATTGGTCAAGGAGCTCTCTGAACCATTAATGTTGATTTTTTAAAAGAAGTTTTTGAACACAAAGTTCCAAAGAACTAGAAAATATGTACCAATATTTTAAAAGGGTAAATGGGATGACCCAGGTAACTAGATGTCAGTTAGTCTGACCCCAGACAAAATCATAGAAAGGTTCATATGGGACATAATCACTAAAATATTAAAGGAGAGTATCATAATTAATGCCACTCAACATGGTTTTATAGAAAAACCTCTGAGATTAAAAGTTTGGTTGATAACTGTATTGACATAATTGACTTCTGTAAGACATTTAATTTAGGCCTACATGTCCTTCTGATAAAAACTAGCACCATACAAAAATCAATATAGCGCATATTAAATTAATTTAAAAAACAGTTAACGGATAGATCTCAAAAAGTAATTGTATATGGGGATTTATTATTCTATGATGGCATTTACAGTGGGGTCCTGCATAGATCTATTCTTGGCCAAATGCTATTAAATATTTTTATTAATGGATCTTTAAGATAATAAAAATGGTTGCTGGTAAACTTTACAGATTACAAAATTTGTGAAGTGGCAAACAATGGAGTCATGTCACTTACCCAGATCAATTCGTATCGCTTTGGTAAGGTGGGTTCCTTTGAACATGGATTTTAATACTGACAAATGTAAGGAACAAAGAATGTAGGTCACAAAAGACGGAGGACTATCCTGGAATGCAGACACGCTGAAAAGCGCACAAGTAACAAACACAACAGCAGCAGCTCAGTGCAATACTGTAGCTCAGTGGTTTCAACATGTGGTCCGTGGACTCCTGGGGGTCCACAGACTAAGATTTTTCAAATGGGTCCACACCTCCGTTTGATATTCTTTTAGGGGTCCACAAATGAAAAAACATTGAAAACCATTGTAGCTAAAAGGATTAGCACAATCCTTGTCTATATAAGCAGAGGACTATCTAACAGCAGGGAGGTGGTATTACTCACTAGTGAGATCATTACTGGAGTACTGTGCCCAGTTCCAGTGTCCATAATACAAGGAGAACAGATACATTAGGAGAGGGGCTTCGGAGAATATTCATGAGAATGTTAGAGGATTAGGAGAGGGGCTTCGGAGAATATTCATGAGAATGTTAGAGGATTACAGAACATGCCTTATGATAGATACTCAAGGAGCTCAATCTTAAAGAAAAGGTTAAGGGGTAACTAATCACAAGTATAAGTACCTATGTGGGGAACAAAAAAAATGATAACTTACTCTTCACTCTAGCAGTCAAAGCTCTCATTGCACCAGTGCCAAAAAGAGGTAATATAACCTCCTTATTCCTAGTAGGTATTCTACTATTTATACATCAATGGATCACATTAGCCCTTTTTGCCACAGCACCACACTAGGAGCTCACATTCAGCTGCAATACCCAACATAACCACCAAATCTTTTTCACAATCACTGCTCCCCAAGATACTTTCACAGAGAGAGAGATTATGGCCTACATTCTTTGTTCCTAGACGTATAACTTTACATTTGGCCATATTAAAATGCATACTACTCTGTGCTCACTCCCAGTTTACCATGCAATCCAGATCATTCTGTATCAATTGTCCTGTCCTCTTCATTATTTAACATTCTCCTCATTCATTCTCAAAAGGAGAGAAAATAGAGATATTTTAGAGATCCGCATTTCAGATTAATACCTAATAATACTAGCTGTTTCGTAGCATTTTCATCAGCTCTCAAAGCACTTCACAATCTCTAATGTATTTATCCCCACAACACCTCGTTAGATAGGGAAGTATTATCCCCTTGTTTACAGATGGGGAACTAGCACAGAGAAATTAAATGACTTGTGGGCGGTCACACAGAAATAAGTGGTAGAGCAGGGAATTTAATCCAAGTCTCCTCTCCCAATTCCTAAGCCAGTGTTCTAAGCACTGGACCATCTCTCCTCTCATTAAATCTATTGCCCAGAGAGAGTTCTTGCTTTTTTCTGATCCTATATGACCTCTTGGGCATCCTGCATTTTAGTACAGTAACTCCTCACTTAACATGGTTTCAAAGTTACGTTTCTGCTCAATTAGACAACATGCTCATTTAAAGTTGTGCAGTGCTGCCTTGTAACGTCGTTTGGCTATCTCCTCTGTACACGGCATGTAAGATTTTGTGGAAGAGTAGCAACTTTACAAGGGAGCATTGCACAAGTTCCCCTTCTCCGCCTCCTCCCACTCCCTCCTTGCGCTTCCCCCACCACCAAACAGCTGTTTGGCAGCACTTAGGACTTTCTGGGAGGGAGGGGGAGGAGCGGGGAAGTGCTGCGTCTCCACTCCTCCCCCTCCCTCCCAGAAAGCAGAAAGTCCTAAGTGCCACCAAACAGCTGTTTGGCAGCACGGAAGCGCTGGGAGGAAGGGGGAAGAGTGGGGAAGTGGCGAAGAGGTGGGCCTGGAGTGGAGCAGGAACGGGAAGAGGCAGGCCTGGAGCATCCCGCAGCAAAGTCAGCGCCTGTTCTTCTCTGGGTAAGCTGCCACTGCTGCTGTGAAGGTGCTTCCTAGCGTCCTTGCCTGCAGCGGGCTGTGCCTGTGTGATATAAGCCAGGGGCACTTCCCAACCACAGTACAGTACATAATGCCTTTTGTCTGCCCCCCCAAAAAATTTCCTTGGAACCTAATCGCCTGCATTTACATTAAATCTTATGGAAAAATGGGATTTGTTTTACATGGTTTCACTTAACATTGTATTTTTCAGGAACATAACTATGTTAAGTGAGGAGTTACTGTACTGAGGAACAAGTCACTATACAGCCTGTAAAGAGAGGCTGAAAGAGGCCTATTAAGAGAGGGAAGAAAAGAACAAAGACTTTCTTAGCTGTAAGCGCTGGAAACCAGTATTGGAGTCTTCCCTCCGCCCCCAGTTTTCTCTGAGAAAAGAGTAAAGTATCTTAGCTTCTTCTAACAGAAGAATCTTAAACCAGATTAGGAAACAAAGCTTGTGTAACAGGACTCCTTGAATCACAAGGAGATGAAACAGACC